TAGTTAATAATATTATGAAGAGAACCTCTTTTGAGTGTAGCATCGCGTATCAAATATGTTGGGACTACTCCTTCATAGTCATTGCACTACATCCTAAGAAAGGCCAAGTTGAGTTAAGGGTAACTAAAGGCTCCCAGTATCACAGGCTCATAGGTAGAAAATAGTAAGTGTTTTCACGAATATTCGTTCAACATTACCATTTTCAAGAGGGCATCAACTGAGCGGTGAATCTCAAGTCAGCTTGGTCGGGAATCAACTTCCTATAAGCCTTCTCGAATGTATCACCTTTCTATCATAAGTGCACTCGAGTCCGGGTGTAGTACTTATCTCACCACATAAAGATAACAACCCAAAGCATAAACAAATATAGATAAATATACATATATACAACAATAAAAAAAAACAAGTTAGGGGGAACCCTCAAGAATAAGAACTCCCCAGTGAAGTCGCCATTTCTGTCGCGGGGAGAATTGGATACCAAGCTATTGATTAACTTGAATCATAAATCATTATTCACCACCGGTCTTTAATTTGTCTAAGGGAAGGGTATTAGCATCCTAAGCATTTGTAGTACTCTACAGGAACCTCTTGTTTTATTATGTTATTGTTGCTTGCTAATGGTGAATCTAGAGGTTTATTTTTAAGTATGCTCACCAAGAAACCGCATCTTGTGCCTATGTATCCTGACGAGAATGGAATCAGAGCATTCGTAGTTCCACTTAATAAGGGAAAATAAAGTTTGTTGGGTGGTTTCAGGAGAAGAGACAAGGAGAATACTCAACTGAACCACCACAAATATGCGGAAGATGGATCTTTGCTTCACATTAAGAGAAGGGCTCCAACTCGGATATAGAATCGACGAGTATGCCACATACCTCTCTCAAGTGGAAAAGAATCGACATCTTGCTCAACAGTGTTATGGGGTAAGAGATTTAGATCTCATCTACATAGATGACTAATGTCTATTTCTCTCATGGAAGAATGTGAACTTATTGCAAGTTATCTAGAGTTGAAATCCTTAGAGAAACTAGCCTAAGGATACAAGTATGTAGGTTCATCGTAAGGTGATCAGTGTAAGGGGAAGCATGGATCAAGCAAAGAGTAAGTGATGCAGATGAATAAAAAGGCCCATAACTATAGAGTCAAAAACAAGTTCTTCCCTTGGGTTTAGACACAAGCGATAATCATGAAGATTCAAAAGTCACCAGTAAAAAAATCAACAAGACAAGCATCAAGACCATGGACAAATACCAACATATGTACAAAGTGAGGATCAAGGCACGTAATCAGCTCACAAGGTGAGATATCAAGAATATACATCATCAATTAATCAAAACAACATAAACGAATTGAATTTTAATCGCGTGCACTAACAAAGTGGACTAGTCTTCTAAACGACCAACTAGAAGTAATTGGTCGAATAGGTCTCACTATAAGAAAGCCAAGGAGTAAGCTATGAATATTGTGTATGGTGACTATAAGGTTGATGGCGACGCACGAGGCAATCGACTTACAATGGTGTAAAATGGCTCGACGTTGAATCGAGAATTTATTTTTGAAAAAAGGTTTAATTGGTGCAATGGTAAGACATATATAAACTAAATAAAGGAAAGCAATAAAGCTATTACACGTCATTGGAATTGGGGTACATTTTGTCGAATGAGAATAATAGTTGATAAAATAATTAAATCGAACCCAATCGAATGAGTACTCATTGTAAGAAGACCCAAGAGTAAGTCACTAGACAGAAACCAACTGAAATCTAAAGGCAACTGAATGTAGCTCTAAGCTGACTTAAAATAGACTCATGTACAAATCCCTCTATAAGAAGTTAGGAAAAAATATATGCGTCCAAGCAATTTTCAAAAGTTAAGTTAGATTTTAACTCTGAAATAGCAACGCAATGATAAATCAAACAGCAAATCAAATATATTATCATCATTACAACAATATTACAATTTTTACATCAACTCAAAATAATCAAAACAAAAAAAAAAACAGAAGGATAACACGACAAACACATGCTATCCACAAGAATCCATACTACTACAAAATCGACATAAAGCTAAAAATAAAATGAAATATTGAAAAGAAAAAAAAAATCATGACACTAAAATAAGAGAAATGAATTAAAACAAGAAAAAATATATATACATATATATAAATTAAAATAAGAAAAAGTAAATATAAATTAAAACTAAAGAAATAAATATAACCTAAAAGAAAGTTAGAGAAATAAATATATATATAATTCTAAAACAGAAAAATATATATAAAAAAATTAAAAAAAAACAATCTAAATATATAATTATATAAATTTTAGAAAAAAAGTTAAATACGTATATATAATTAAAAATTAGAAACTGGAAGAATGTATATATGAATACTAAAACATATATATATCTTTATAAACTGGAAATAATGTATGAAAAACTTACAAGTAAGATCAATATATATATATATATATATATATATATATATATATATATATATATATATATATATATATATATATATATATATATATATATATATATATATATATATATATATATATATATATATATATATATATATATATATATATATATATATATATATGTATATATATATATATATATATATATATATGACTAAAACAGAACAATATATATTTAATATATTAATCTCGCATAAAACAAAAGTATATTAAAACAAAACAAAAATAAAAAGTATAAAGAAAAGAGAAGATTATTGCTTTTGATTTTTTTGAAAAGAGAGATAGTGATTCTTATAGCAAATAATGAGAGGATGAGGTTTTTTTTGTTGTCCTCTTTTATAGACATTTTGAATTTCGACATTGAGATGTTGATTTGAAAGGAATTCAAATTTGTCTAGAACATGTTTGGAATATGTTTTGCGATTTTGAAAATATTCTTCTTTCATTCAAACATATTTGCTTTGTTTAAGACTTTTTAAATGAAAACACACAAAAAGAAAAATAAATACAAAAAGTAATATAACATGACATGAACCCACAACCTTATGATTAAACATCTTACACATACCTTTTTACCAACTATGCTATCTCATTTATCCATAATGAAATCCACTCAAAAGCATATGAAAGGTGGACAAAATTGGGGTATGGGAAAATGTCAATGCTATGTACAAATGCCAATGCAAAATGATAGGAAACATAAGCCAAGATATAAGAAAAGGGATGAGAAAATTTTGGGGTGCTACAATTACATGGCTCTTAACGTATCAAAGACAGATTCTCAGTCCCAACAATAGACAAACTTTTAGATGAGCTTGGTTCAACTACCATTTTTTCCAAGATATACTTACGCTCAGGCTACCACAATATCCAAGTTGCATCCGAAGACACTCATAAAACAGTTTTTGGAACATTTGATGGTCATTATGAATTTCTCGTAATGCCCTTTGGATTCACTAATGCCCCGTCTACTTTTTAATCCGCGATGAATGATTTACTTAAACCTCACTTACGCAAGTTTGTTTTGTTTTTTTTTTGTGATATTCTCATTCACAACTACTGATCTTGCTAACCATTTTCCATATAAATATGTTGTTTACATGGCATTCCAAAATCAATCATATTAGATCGAGACACTATTTTTCTAAGCACGTTTTAGAAAGAAATTTTCAAAATACAGGGAACTCAACTTAAGTACATTATTGCTTCCCACCCCGATAAGGACGGACAAACGGAAGTAGTAAACCAATGTTTAGAGATCATCTTTGATGCTTTATTAGTGATCAACCAAAATGATGGTACAAGTTTCTCCATCTTGCTGAATTCTGGTTTAATACCTCATTCCATTCTAAAATCCAAATGACTTATTTCACAACTTTGTACGACCAACCCCCTCCTTCAATCCCTGGCTACATCGTCGATACAGCCACCGCGGGTGATCGTGACACCACTCTGAAAACCAGACAAGAGATTTTAGAACTTCTGAAGAAATACTTAGTTACAAATAGACAGTAAATGGAAGTGCAAGCAAATAAAAAAAGATTTGATCATACCTTTCAGGTAGGCGACTGTGTCCTCCTCCGTGTTCAACTGTATCGTCAAAACATAGTGTCCAAATGTGTCTCTCTAAAGTTATCAAAACGCTTTTATAGACCGTTTACAATCCTCAAGCATGTGGGTTAAGTGGCCTATGAGTTAGATCTTCCGCCTTCATCTCGTATTCACTCGGTTGTTCACATCTCCCTCCTCCGACCTTACTATGGTGACCCTTCCAAGTCTTTTTCAACTGGGGACGCTATAGACCAACATGCAGTGACTGAAGGTTTTACGACTAAAATTTTTTTGGCACAATAGAAGACAGATACTAAGCAACCACAAAGTCTTAATGAGAAAATAATTTGTAACAAGGGGCCTGTAAGCGTGGAGTCTCAAAGACTACTAATGTACTTAATGAACCCTCAAGTACCAAACCACTTAACTTATCCAAGTCCTCTACCCTCTCTCCTAAAAAAAATCGGAAAACCCTCTTAATTTACCCCCACCAGATCCTAACAAGAAGATTCCCACTCCTCAAGATCTGGCCACATGTCCCACTTCTTCTCATCGAATGGTTTCTACTCATGTACACACTATTATAAAATTCTAAACCTCACACTCATAACATCTATTGACTTGATCATTAGAGTCTTTGAAAATAAAAAGACCATCATGAAAGGACTCATCATCACCACTTAAAGAAAGATCTTAGTGGATCACATACAATCCAATGAAAAATGCTTATGACGCAAATATATAAATAATATACATGATAAATAAACTTATAGTAAGATGAGAAAATTGATTAATCATGTAATTTTGTTGGTACATGAAATTAAAATCATAGATACCACAACAAGACTAATTAGACATGAACTTAAACACCAAATGAAAGGACACACTAATAAAGCATAAAGAATGCATACAAAAAGTTCAACAATGTGTTGTTATTAACTTGACGATGAAGAAAGTAATTAAACACATGTTAAGCATCTACAAGATCTGATTCATATTTAAATCCATTAAGAGGAAGCGCCAAAGAAGAAATTTGATTTTGATCATCATTATTAATAATAGAAGCAACATGTGATTGGTCAATAGATGGAACAGCAGGAACACAAGTAGTTTGTCCATTATTAAGCCTAGGAATCTCGAGACTTGGTTTCTTCCTGATCCTAGACATGTATCTCTTTTTTCTCTGCTCTGGATTATCAAATTTGTAGTGATTTGACGTCACATGAGAAGCAAATTTTTGTGAAGTATCCAACACTTGATAGCACTTTGGACACGTGTACGGTCCATATTTCTTGTGTGGTAGGCTGTGGATTCTACCATCATCAAAATTCTTCTTCTTGAAATGAACCCCAACATAAGCATCACCATCAGTAAGAGCAACAACTGTCTGATCTGATGATGGCTCATGTGACTGTGATGATCTTGTGACGAGGAGATTAGGATGATAAACCTCGTTAAAAGCATTCATCATGTTGTTGTTGTAAATGTTAATGACATCCTCGTTTTTATGAGTTGCTGATGCTGACGATGCATTCGAATGTGAAAATTGAGCTTCAAGAATTTTCATTGCTTTCCTGATACCAGGAGCATGACTACCATAATACCATTTGGTATCCTCAGTGTTTATGTTGGATTCTAGAGGAAGAGGAGGATGTAATGATGGTTGTGTGATGGAATCCATGGATGAAATTAATGATATAAAAGTCAAATTAAACACAAAATAAAAGTTTATTAATCACATAGGCGTCAGTTTGATAGGTCGGTGGTTTCTGCCTTCTGGTATGTGATCCCTCAATTTATAACACTCTACTATTCATTCCTATATATCATTAATTTATTCTCAAAATCATATTTATATAATATAAGAACCATCATAAACATTAAAAAATCAATGTATCTAGATTATATATAATCTAGATACATTGGTTTTTCAATAAATAAAAAATAACTTTTATTAAAGATGAGAGGGATTAATAACACAAGTAAAGATGAATTACTTTAATGATCTAATTTACTATCTCTGGTCTTATTTATAAAAAAAATTATTTTTTATATTTATTCAACAACTAATGTATTTCATCTATATTTTTCCTAAATACATTGTTTATTCTACGAATTTAAAAAGTAAATTTTTTTTTTATAAATAAAACCAAAAAAAATAATACATTATATACAACATCATGTGGACTACTCTCTCTCTCTCTCTCTCTGTTATAACGATGTTTTGGTTTTATCAGATGCACCCCGTTTAACTTTGAGAATAACAGATTTGTTTTTTGTTACAAGAATAATAGATTTTATATTACACTAAAAAAATTGTGTAATTTTATAAAATTATTCTATATTAATACTATGGTCCTATTTATAAGAAAAAAATTATTTTTTATATTCATTCAACAACTAATATATATGTCTATAATTTGTCCAAGTACATTGTTTATTCTATGAATTTAAAAAGTAAAATTTTCTCATAAACAAGACTAGAAGAAGTAATATAAAAATATAAATTAAATAATAATAATAATAATAATAATAATAATAATAATAATAATAATAATAATAATAATAATAATAATAATAATAATTTATAATCTATATAAAGACAATACTTGATTTTTGGTGTAGTTTTTTTTATACTAAATTTACCCTTATTTTAAAATATATAACTTACACAATAACTTTCATTGAACTATTACTATCATCTTTCATATAACTTTCTACTAATAACTTCCCACATAACTTCCATGTAAAATTAATATTAAATAAAAATATATCATTTATATTTATATGTGTGCAATAAAAAAGCGGACAGACGGGCACGCGAGTGCCCGTCTGGACGCTAATAATAATAATAATAATAATAATAATGATAAAATATGAATCAAAACCATTATACATTTTAAGATTAATTAAAATACACCGAAAGTGTAAAACTATTTTACATTGTCATTCAATTAAAATTAATCCTTATAACACATAAATATTTGAATTAAAAATAAAAATAATATATTATAATTAATTATTCTAATAATTGACTTTTCCACTTTTTTCTCTCTCATTGTTCATGTTTATGTGTAAAAAGAGTTCATTTTAATTGAATAACAGTGTAAAACAATTTTACTAGTATATTACAATTAATTTTATAATTTTTCAAACAAAGTAAAGCGAAATAAATAAATAGTTTTTAAGTGTATTAACAATTCCTTTATATTAATTTAATTTTAAAATTTTATTCTCAATTGTTGACTGAAGTTTTCAAAGTAAATGACTATTTCTATAAATAAATAAAAAGTAAATTATTAATATGTTGTAAAAGATAAAGTTTATAATAATTGTTTTGAAAAAATCAACTTTTCTTTGACTCAAACTAAAAACTTTCAATATATAATTTTAAAGATTTTATTTATGCATAAATTATGTTATAAAATCTGCCAAAATTATTTTATATTATGAATATATTTTAACTAAGCACATTTTAGTGATTTGTATTTGGTAGGTATTTTCCTTATACTCTTGTTTTTTATTATATATAAGGATTGATGTACATCGATTTTAGAAGAAATGAGTTGTTTCTTTAATATTATGATTATTATTTATGAGATATTATTTTTTTAATTAAACTAGTTGATTAATAATAAATAAATGTCTCTTATATGAATTGTATTTTTTAAAGATACTAATGACTCCTTTCTAGAAAAGAACGTGAAAATTATGATTAAAAAAATAAAAATTGAAAAATTGAACACTTTTTTTAACTCATTGATAGTTAAAAATGTAGTAAAATATTAAAATGTTCAAAAAAAAAACTAGATGTCACAGTTTAAAACTAATGTAAAAAAGATACATTTTGAAAATTTTTTGAGATGAAGTCATTGACAACTTTTTTTAAGTCTATCATAATCAAATTATTATATTATAATTATTCTTTTTTTTAAATACTTAAAACAACACTAAATTTAATTAATCTATTTATTAGTAACAATATTTGTTCAATTTATTTAATTTATTATTTTTAATTTATTGGTGAACACAAGTCCAATTAGGAATTTGTGGGAGATAAAAAATATGGTAATTTGAGTTCGAACATGTAATTTTACATTATGTCCTTACACTTTTTCTTGTAATATTTATTTTTATGATATTAAAAAACTTTAACTTTAACTAATTCTTTGATTATAAATATTGGTTTTATGTATAATATTTATATTTATTAAATTTAATATCTCATAGTTATTCTTATTTTTAATATATAAGAGATATTTTAAATTTTTTAAATTAATTACTAACAATTAAATATATCAATGATTTTTTAATGAATAATTTTGTAAAAATACAGCAAAAATAATAAAACAACATATTAGAAAACCACGTAGCTGTTAAGTGACTATATGTAATTTCTTAGAATGTATAAAAAAATATTTTAAAATGACTGTGTGAGAAGTTTGAACAGCACAATCCATATATATATTGATCTCATTTGATCAGAAAGAAATTAGTAGTCTGCCACACGTTGTGAGCTGCTACGTTCACCGGCGTTGTAGAGAAGGAGGGGGTGTGCCTGCAAGGTACTCCGATGCTTAAGTGAGTAACGGAGTTTCGGAAAGAGCAAGTACAGAGATAATAGGTGTAGAGAATAAGATACCCGACCCTTTAGTGAAAGATGTTATTTATAATGTGCCCACAGCACAGGGCCAACGACTACATTGCATTGGACCAGATTGACAAGCCCAACACAAGTAACTGTCGGGGCTTACGTGGCGTAGGAAAGACCATCACGTGGTATTTGCCCTGGATCAACTGTCCTGTGATCTTCGGAAGGTGGACTGACCAACTCTTTCGAAAGTGGGTAGTTGCCTGATGACGTGTCCCCGCGTGAGGGGCACGTGGAGAACGTGGGGAAAACATGTGAGCTCTCCCCGACAAGATAATGCTCTGCCCGACTACGGTGCCTTGTTGAGGTGTGTTCCCGACAGGGGAGGATCGGGCCTCGTCAGCGTAGTATTGGGTTGGGTCTGCCTGGCTGAGGGGGAAGTCTCGGTCCAGTCCAGAACAAGAGCCCCCCAAGTCGTTGCTCCTAGGTGGAGGAGTAATGACTTAAGGGCAGGTTAGAGTGTCGAGGACCAGTTCGGAAGATGGTAGTTTTCCCGACGCATAGAATTGAGGGTCGTGTACAAGGCCAGGAGCGGAGGACGCTCGACGAGACAATATGTCAGGGAGGTGGAAAGCGAGCAGACGTGCTTGATCTTCGAGCACGAGGGGGAGACGAATGGGTGTGAATCGTCTGGTGATGCCACGTGTTCGGGGAATTAATGCATAGGGCGGCTATGGGTGGGGGCACTCAAGTGCCTAGGAATGCCTCGAGTCTCGTGCTAGGTTTATAAATAGGACTGAGTTGTTTCATTCTCATGTTCCCTTTCTTCCGTTCAAAACATTCTCTTTTTCCTCTTCACGCTCCTCCTCTCTCTGCTCCAAGACGTTCGTCGCCGTCTCGTCCTCTCAGAACCTCCGTACCAAGTAAGTCACAACTTCTTTACTCTCACTTTTTTTTCATTTTCTGACAGTTTCTCCGGTGGACTTGATGAATGTCCCGGGGAAACTATGAAGTTTCCGGCGAATGCGCCAGAACTTCTTTGAATTAGTATTGTTCTGGATGAACCTCTCGGGGACCGGCGATGAAGCCCTTGGGGACGTAGGATGAGTGACTCGAGGGAATAATGAAGGCCCTGAGGAGTTGGGATGAGGTTCCCGGGGTCATAAGATGAATGCCTCGGGGACCTGATGAAGGTCTCGAGGACCTGGGAAGGGATACCCGGGGACGTTAGATGAAAGTCTCGGGGACCCGTTTCCCGCCTGTCGAGGGGGGAAAGACTCTCTCCTTAGGGGTGCCCTCCTCTTCACCCTTTCACTTGATCTGCGGTGGAAGGATGGATTTGATCTGGAGTGTCGAATTCACCATTTTCGTCTACTTTTTAGGTAAAGATGACTGCATGGATTGAGGGGGTCGTTGATATTGACGACGAGCCTGATTCCCCGATAGCGCAGACCGGCAAAGAGAGAAAGCGGGCTACCGTGGATTGGGCCGGGCAGGAGCTCCTGAGTATTTCTTCCCGCTTTTCCGTGGATGAGTCTGATGCCTAGGCCACAGTCAAGGACCGCTATGAGGGTTCCCCCTGAACTGGAAGGTGTATAAATCCCAAGCAAACCATCGGATATGCTCGACTTTTAAGGGGATGAGGTTCCCCATGTATGAATTTACTTTTTCGGAAGCGGGCTTGCGTCTTCCCTTCACTGATTTTCAACGGGGAGTGTTTGACTGGCTATGGTTGCGCCCTCGCAACTACACCCTAACGTGATTGTGTTCGTGCGGGCGTACGAGCTCGTGTGTTGGCATCTCAACATCGGGGCCACGCTCACCCTTTTCTTCCGCATCTTCCATCTTCAACGACAAGCATTCGAGGGTCGACACAGCTGGGTGTCTTTGAAGCAGCCGAGGAGACTATTTCGAGCATATCTAGATTCCATTCGCACTTTCAAATACTAGTACTATGTTCTCAAGCCCGTCACTCATATGACCGTGGAATCACTTTTTGCCCTCGAGGTCCGGGAGAAAGACGGGAAGCCGGAGGAGTTCTTAGTGTCGAAGTTCCCGTTGACTTGGATGGAGGAGCATTTTGACAAGGA